TGGTGGGATTACAGATTGGTGCAGCCATTATGGAAATCTGTATAGAGGTATCTCAAGAAACTGGAAATGGAACTACCTTATAACCCAACAATTCCACTCTTAGGTATTTATCCAGAAAAACCAAGACTCTAATTCAAAAAAATATATGCATCCCTATGTTCATTGCAGCACTATTTACAATAGCCAAGACTTGGAAACAATCGAAATGCCCATCGGTAGATGACTGGATTAAGATACTGTGGTACATTTACACAATGGAGTATTATTCAGCTATAAAGAAGAAGAAAATCATACCATTTGCAACGATATGGATGGACCTAGAGAACATTATGCTAAGTGAAATAAGTCAGTCAGAGAAAGACAAATACCATATGATCTCACTTATCTATGGAATCTAAAGAACTGAATAAATGAGAAATGTAAACAGAAATAGTCTGAGAGACACAGGAAAAACTGATGATTGCTAGTTGGGAGGGGGTGGGGATGAGGGAGAAGGGGAAGGGACAAGACAATATAAATTGGTAACTACAATATTGTCTCAGGGATAGAAAAGACAGTTTGGGGAATATAATCAATAACGTTGTAAATATTTTTTAGGGGGCCAGATGGTCTCATGTCTTGTTAGGGAGACCACTTCTTGGATTGTGTAGAGGCCTGACCACTGCACTGTACATCTGAAGCTGCCGTTGAATAATATAATATGTCAACTATAATTTAATACATATATAGTCATGGGATGTGGACTATTGTGTGGGAATGGAGTCAATGGAATTGTAATAGATATGTATGATATTAGGGGTGGGAGGGCAGTGGATGGGGGTTGAGGGGTTGTCACTTTGTGAGGGGTGAAAAGGATAACTATTGCATTGTTTCGTACATCTGAAACTAATAAAAAAGAAAAACTTGCACAAGAATGTTCACAGCAACTTATTATTAATTACAGTCCCAAAGTGTAAACAATCTGACTGCCCATCAATGAACGAATGGATACAAAAATAAATAAAAAACAACTGAGGTGGAATATTACCAAGAGACTTAAAAAAGGAACAAGCTACTTATATACCCAGCACGAATAAATCTCAAAAACATGCTGAGTGAAAGAAACCAAATGCAAAATAATATGTTCCATAGGACTTCTTTTTATGTGAAACTCTAGGAAAAATAAATCTAGTCTTCAGTGATGGAAAAATAGATTAGTCATCCAGCTGTAAGGAAAGTGTGGATTGAGAGATCATTTTGAGGTAATGGAAATGTGGTAGTGGTTACATGGGTGTATGTAAGTGTCAAAATCCATCAAACTGTCTACTTAAAATGTGTGTGTGTTTCATTATATCTAAATCATATCTCAATAAAATTTGTTTTTAATAAGAAAGACTGGTTCCTGTCTAGACTTGAGAGTAGAATATTGTCTCCTCAGTAGTTAGGCTGAGTTTACAGTTGGGTTGGGAATGGGAAGGCCCTACATTCCTGCTACATTAAGTACCTTTAATTTGCCCACATGCATATGAACATTTAATTTGTCCTAAAAGCCCTTTTGTTGCAGTCAAAGTACTGTCCTGTACCCCTACTGCCTGGCAGAATGCGGTCTTGTGGATAATTCATTATTGAGAAGACACATTAAATGAGCCACTGCCACCACGGACTCATGAGACTTCCTTCCATTCCCCTCCTTGATCTTTTAGATCTTGGTCATGGGTAAGACAAGCATCAAATATAGGGAGGCTTCACTTTAGGGTGTCTCTGGTCCACAGAAAACTAGGGGAGAAAATGTAAAGAAAGAGAAGTGTCCAGAATATTGGGTTGTCGGAAAAGTCATGACATATTTTGTCTATGTTTTTCAAGGGTCATTTATTCATATAAAGAACAAAGATCAATCAATGATATATTGCCCATTCTGTTTGATAACCTTTTGCCATCTTTCAGTGAGCTTTATAATTCCTCATTCATAGAAGGACCTGTCTTTATTGGCGAAAAACTGAACAAGGTGCTGATTTACAGCCTCATCTGAATTGAACGTTATACTACGCAAAGAGTTTTGAAGAGAATGAAACAAGTGGAAGTCTGACAGCACAAGGTTGGGCCAGTATGGTGGGTGTGGCAACACATCCCATCCAAGCTCCAATAATTTTTGACGGGTGATCAAACTTGTGTGTGGTCTCGCGTTGTTGCGATGGAACACAACTCCTTTACAATTAACAAGCTCTGGACGTTCCTGGATGATGGATTTGTTCAAATTGTCCAACTGCCTACAGTACACATTCGAATTGATTGTTTGGTTCCTTGGTAGGAGCTTGAAAAACATGACACTCTTAAAACCCCACCACACTGAGAGCATAACCTTCCTCTGATGAATGTCTGCTTTCGATGTCATTTGAGGCAAACCATCACGTTGGGACCAAGACCGTTTGCAAACCACATTGTTGTAAACAATCCACTTCTCATCACCAGTTATCAGTCTCTTCAAAAAAGGATCATTTTCCTCACTTTAATGAGCATACTGCAGATGTTTTATACGCACCATCAAATGAACTTCTTTGAGTTCATGCGGAACCCAAATATTGAACTTGCTTACATATCCCAGCATCTTCAGGTGGTCGTGTATGCTTGAATGATGGATGTTCATTGTTTCTGCAATCTCTCGTGTCGTGTAACATGGGTTTGACTCAATCAATGCCTTTATTTTGTTGTTATCAACCTCGGTGGGCCTCCCTGACCGAGGAGCGTCATTGAAATCAAAATCACCAGCACGGAATTTCATGAACCGTCACTGGCACTGACATTCTTATAGCACATTGCCACCATAAACTTTATGCAACTTTTCACAAGCTTGACGCGCATTCTTCCCTTTATGGAAATAAAACAGTAAAATATGGCAAAAATGCAGTTTGGTCTTCCATTTTCAACTTGTTGTAAAATCTCCAAAACTCAACCAAACGCTGTTTGTTTTTTTTTAGGATGAAGCTAGAACTGTCAACTGTCAAATGACATAGCAATAACATAGATGCAAGTGACTCTAGTACTTCCAAAAATGAACTAGTGCCATCTGTTGCAAACATGCAACATGACTTTTCCAACAACCCAATAGATGTCAGGTCACTACCAAACCAAGGAACCTATGGAATCTGAGACAGAGAGAATACGTGTAGTTCAATAAGCAAGATTGTAAGTAGCTTTGAGGGATGAAATATGCCAAGTATGACTTCTCAGGTTGCAATATATAGGTCAGAACAGTGTTTCCCCAAGGGTTGGACAAGTACCACCAGTGGTACATGACATGATTTTAAGGATTCTTGAGATGAACAGGAATAGTAAACCAAATATGATATTAAATAACATTGAATCTCATGATGATTTCTTCTCTAGTTTTCCTAGGTTGTTTTTGTTTGTTTGTTTGTTTTTGTTTTTTTCTTTCTTTCCTGTCTGCGGGTTGGGAGCGGGGTTGGTGTGCGGAGTGATTCGCCTTTTTTTTTTTCTTTTCTTTTAAACTTATGAGCCCTTTGTTTTCTTTCTTTTCTTTTTTTTTTTAGGCTCAGTGTCACCTGGGATGGCATTCTCGGCCCCTGACTAACCGCTTTCTCTCGCCACCCGCGCCCAAGGTCGCCCCTCCGTCCTCGCCCCTAGCCCACGAGGGATGGAAGCATTGTCCCACTCCCTTCCCACCCCGTCTCCGCAGCCGTAGCCGCACCTGCCTCAATATGAATGGGGTCAATGACCCACCTTTTTTTATAAAAGATATTAAGGCCGGACTGAAAAACTTAGATGTCGTCTTTATTGTCCTGGAGATAGGTAAGTGGGGTCCACAGCCCTCCCCGCCGGCGCCTGTGCGTCGCGGGGCTGGAGGAAGGGGCGCCGCTGCCTCGAGCCGGGGCTCCCTCCCGCTTCTCCCCTGTTCCCCTGCCTTCCCCTCCACTAGTTTTCCTAGTTTTTGATTATGTATCAAAAAGCCCCATTTCATGCAAATATATATTTAACACCAACTTCTCTCTTAAAAACAAAAATACAAAAAATATCTAACTAGAACACAATAGAAATGTTTGTTTGTTTATGTAGTTATCCTCTATTTATGGCAAATAAACTTATTTTTCATATGTGGTAGGGAGTCCAAGGATCTACATAAAATAAATGATCTTTAGTAAAAAAGGGAGGCAGATAATTTATGTTAAAAATAGGTTTAAAATACTATAGTGGAATATTGATATGATGATATATGAACACCTGAAACTGGATAACAGTACATTAAAATGTTAATTTTTAAGGAAAAGTAAATATATTAACATATTAATAAGCATTAAATTATTACCATAAAATAAATATCAATAAGCACTGAATTATTAACATATGAATAAATAAATATTGAAAAAAGTTAACACGATATTTTCATGTCATCAGTTAGTTTTTCATTTCAATTACTTGCCCTTTGTTTATCCCCCAAATTTTCAGATTCCAGATTACTGATAAAAGGCAAGATTAAGATTTTCAGTATCATATAAATTGGGATAAATGCCATGATATTGGGGGAATGGCAGGAATATACCTGAACAATAATTCCATTCTACCTCTTCCTGCTAATGAGTGCTCTCACTTAAGTGTGGGTAAAGAAGTTATGCACAGGTAACCATAAAACAACAGATTCTGTCTCCATAAAAGTTGGAAATCTACTATTTTTAGGTTTGCTATTTTTTCTTTTTCCCCTGTATTGTATATTTCAATAGATTTCCTTTAAAGAATCCATAACAGTGTACATTCACTTTAGATCCACTAATCACTTCCAAAAATATAATTCACATGGACAAATTTCTTCAAAATTGTAATGTTGTTATGAATATTTTGACAGTGTTGTGCAATTAAAAAAAATCAACCTCAGCTAGGCTCTACAGTTTTACAGAACAGTAAAACTGGTTTTCTTATTTAAAGAAACATAAAACAGGTTAGTTTCCACCATGCTTATGATTTCCCAAGAGTAGAATGAAATTTGGAACAAACAAAAGTAAAACCCTTACCTGTTGGAAGGTGCAGTGTTATGTTGTTGCAAAAATCTGTGAAGCAGCATTCGGTTTTGGTGACATTGTTGGAACTATGACAAAAGACTTGAGCATTTAATTCTGGGAGAGAGACACAGGACTTGGTCACCTGTTCTTTCCCGTTGGTTAGCATAACTGAAGCCCAACATGCTCCTTCTGTTTGGCAGGTGAAGTTTGAAGAGTCGCACAAAAGACATACACACTTCAGTCCTAGAAAGCGAAAGGCAAAAAGATTAACATACAAAAGACATCACACAAATCTGTTTCGTAATACTTGAGTGTAGACACTAACTCTTAATGAAAATGGAGGGAGGGTTTAAATAATCAGCACTAGATAAACACATGCTAATGCTGTTACTTCTGCTCAGTCGTGTGTTTTCTTAAAACAGGTTGACCAATCATCATTTACTTTGCTTGTATTTGTATGAATTTATACAGTTGCTATTATATTTTAAAACAATTTTCTCATCCAATGTCAAAATCCCTCCTTCTTAACCTTCGTCAGCTCATTCCTAAATCAATAGCTTCTATGAATCACTAGGATACAGTAACACAGCAACCAAGGGGTATTGTCTGGCACCACTTATAGAATATTAAAGTGTGGTTACAGCACCTGTGTAACCAAACAATTCAGTGTATTCTGTTCATTTATTCTTTCTCCTGTAAACCTGTATGTGCTAAGCACAAACCCAAACATAGATATTTACAGCTCTAAAAAAATAGTGTGATTCTTTACATGTTGTATATTCTGTGATATTTTAACATTATTGTTATTGTCATAGTACTTTTAAAGCATTGATAAGCCATTATACTTCCCCCTCTTCATTAAACAATACATCTTAGAATGAGAGTTATTTGAACATAGACCATGACCTTCAGGCAATTTTCTTTAATGAACACATCTATTCAAAAAAGCAAAACACATCGATTGTAGAATCTCGTATACCTACAGCAATGAAACTTTCAAAAATTAGGCTTTGCTAAATTTAACCTGTTTACTACATATGTTTTCTCCACATTCCCCATTTACCATACATACACACACCATACATTATCTTACACATTCAAAGTGGTGCAGCACGTCTGTTCTGATGTAAAATATCTGTCAGCATGAAAAGTCCAGTGGTTGTAAGCAATTTACTTAAGTTTGCTTAATCATATTGTTTTTACATAGTACAATACTGATGAGCCTTTTGCATTACTTTAACTTTTTCTTAAATCATACCTGCCCACCACAAATACCTGAATGTCCAACTTTACCATACAATCATTTTTATTCAAATCAAAGTCTTTAAATTACTAGCTAATTAGTCAAATTGGAGTTTATTTTATACCTATAAAATACCTGATACATAAATGGGAATTTTTCTACTCTACTTCAAATACCAATATAAGAGCAAATATGGATAATATTCCTATATAAGTGAGTAAGAAAGAACAAATTACATAGTAATAGAAATTATCTCTTCTTTTGATAATTTTTCTTGACCAGCAAAACATCATCCTCTTAAACATTTTTATTCCTATGTTTAAGAGAAATACAACCAAAATAAAATGCTATTTTGTTATCAACATTGGACCAAGCATAATAGCTCACTCTTCTATTTTTTTCAATGGTGATCAATATAAATAAATATACTCTGATGCTGATATTTATGTGCAAGAGTAGAATCTTATACTCTGGATTGATTGGGATCCACCAGAACTAGATATATAAAATCTAGGTGATGTGAGTTTTAGGTCACTTTCCTAGCAAAAAAAGACAACTCATATAATAAGGATCCATCCACCCAGGTGTCTTCTGAAAGCAAAATCTCTCTCTCTAGTATCTTCCAATTCCAACCTGACAAAGGCCTTCAAATCATGGTTATACTAGCTCTGTAATCTTGGGCATTTCTTGCTCCCTCTGTGCCTCCATTTCCTCATATGAAAGATATGAGAATAGACCTCCTTATAATGTTTGTTGTAGAGAATAAATTAGTTAGTATACACATATGTAAAGTCCTTGGAACAATGCCTGGTATTTAGGAAGTACTATGTAAATATTAGTGACCATGTCTTCTCCTACTGGAGGAGATAAAGCTAGTTATCCTATGCAAATAATCGAAATATATTTGTAATGTGTAAAGAAATGGCTGAATGAACCAGACTATTTAAAAGGCATTACAAGAAATACATTTCTTTCTGCTCTGCCAAGAAAGTTCAATATTCTCATTCTTTTCATGGTTCAGGCTAAAACCTAGACAGTCACACAGCAGGGTGGTGTCTGGTGATAGTCCAGGTAAAGTTCAGGAAAAGATGAAAGTCTCAATCCTAGCTCAGTCACTTATTTGCTGATTGACTTTAAAGAAGATATTTAGCCTTACAGGGTCTCAGTGCCTTCCTCTGAAAACCGGAAATAAGCTGGGGGAGGGGTAGTGGTTCCAGAAGTCTTCGAGTCTCATGTGATGCCAACATTTTGTGACTCTATGAATTTATAATTTATGGATTTTCACAATTTAAAAATATGGAAAATTCTTTGACATCAGGAAATTGACTCCACTGTGGTTATTCTTTTTTTTTCTTCTTTTTTTTTTAAAGATTTTTATTGGGGAATTGGGGAAAGGGGAACAGACAAGTTGCTGTCGTTTTGTTCTTCAGTCTAGTTGTGGAGGAGGTTGCCTCACTGGCCCAAGTTGGCACCATCATTGTGCTCTTCCCGGGCGAGGCAGATCAGTCGCCGGCTTCTGGACGGCTGCTCATGCTGGCTGCTGGCTACACACGGCAGCCCGTGGCAACCCACTGCAGCAGAGGCTGTAGCCTACACCGTCACCGTCGACTCACAGCAGCCCAGCTCCAGGTTGAGCTGTTGTTCAGCATCTTAGCTGTGGAGGGCAGTGTCACTGGCCCTCATATGGGGGATCCGAACCGGGGCCCTCTGGCGTCCCAAGCCAGTTCTTAACCAACGCGCCACTCGGCCGGCCCCACTGTGGTTATTCTTCGATCTTATATTTTAAGGGGCTGAAGTTATGAAGACTAATTCTCCTGACACACAATCTAAAAGCATTTGTTGCTAGACTCCTCATCAGAATCTCCTTGAATTTTCTATTTCCAAGGGAAGCCTAGCCTGGAAACCAAAGCAACTAAGAAGTATGGACCCACTGAGTGAAGACAACCGTAAAGTACTCAACAACTAAACATATGTTAGCTTCTTGTATGTTTAGCATTGCGTGTAATTCCCAGTGCCACTGTGGGAGTTACTTGTCACCATCTACATTTTATTGATAATGAAATAAGACTCAAAAACATCAAGTGACTGAATTAATGTGGCCATAAGACTACTCAAGCAATGTGGTTTCTATCCTACCAAAACTGATTTTTTTTTTAAATAATGGGAACAGAAACCATTCTCCCACCTCTCCAGTTTCTAACAATTGTGAATAAAATAGAATTATAAGACAGCAGAAAGATAGTAATAGTTAATTCATAACTGAGATTTTGATCTGTATTGTCCTAATTATCCTTTAAAACAGTTGATATTTTTTAAACAAATTCTACCTCCCTATTTTCTGAGGGGACAGGTGGTCCAATAAAAGTCAATTGCATGTGCCTTGTATCAAGCATAAATAATCTTACCTTTCAGGTTGTCTGAGTTTTGTATTAAGTGCAAGCTTGTAAGTACCTAACCTGGTATGTTCTCTCTACTAGCTCTTTATAAAAATGATTACGTAATAGTTCTCAAGGAACAATATGACTACTTACTCACTGTTTAACAGGCTATAAAAATGTTTTTCACTTTAAAGTAAAAGGTATCAATCAGACAAATAATATGGACTTAGGTAATACAGTTAAGATATAGTAAATGACACTTTACTTTAAATGTTGTACAATGGAAAACAGTGACAAAATTGAGAATTTGTTGATGATAATGGCTTCAAACATCTGCTAAATGTTCTCATTTATTCCAGGTCAATTGGCAGTACTATAGCACTAACAGGAAACAAACAGCAAACTAGAAGAGCCTATGATGTATCTCTAACAGACAGCATATTCAGTCTTGCATTTTTTTTCATTTCCCTCCAATCCACTATATGGCCACATTTGACATATAATTAAACTATATTTATGTCAACCATCCTCAACATAAACCCTGGTGCTGCCAATTAAAACATAAGTTGCCATTAGTGATTAGACTTACGATTTCATATTTTGTTTCTTTAAAAACTGCTGTTAAATGAGTCAATTATACTAGAATATTCCACGACAGGATAAATCTGGTTGTTAGCAGACAGTAGTCCAGCCTTATGCTTCTTTATTTTATACTTTCCCATTTACTGTACTTGAGTCATATGGAAAGGGATAGCAAATGAAGTTGAAGAAAGAGGTAATTACCCGTAATAAGGAGGTCTATTAGATTTTTCCCCACAAGGAAGATTGCACTTTCCCTGTGTCTCCTCCCACCCCTTTAATTATCTCCTTTCCCCCATTTTGCCAATTAGTCTCTAAAAGCCAAGACATCTGTTACCCACAAGACATCTGTTACCCACATGAAACCAAAGGATGTGCACATTCCTAATCAACCAGAAAATAAATTTTCATCCATATTTACATGTGATACGAAGCACACCCTGGTTCCAGAAATGTGAAAACTATCAGACTGAAAAAAAAAAAAGAAAAGAAAATTTATCAATTTGTATTTACATGATGTTTCTATTAAAAAGTCAAATATTTGCTTGGGAAATATTAGTTGTTTTGAATGAGATATGATTTTTAATTAAGTTGGTTTTATATTTCCTAGGTTTCCTACATTTTGGGTCTATCTGATAAAATATCTATGGACCAGTACGTTACATAAATTTCTGACACAGATGCTTTCCTTTTTTCCAGACATTAGTTGATTCAATTTCCCTAATTTTAGAGCAGGCTATTAAACACAAAATATTTTTTTAATTTCAGTAAACTCTTAAATTTGACCTACTGAATATGTAATCTTTGCATCATTTGTAGGTTTCTGAGTTAACAAAGGGAACGATTCAAACTCATCAGTGTGCTGAACATGAAAAGTATGGCACCAGGAAAGAAGCCAGGACACTTGCACCAGTGCACGTGAGCCAAAGCCAGATAGGTGCAAAGGAAATCAGCAAAGATCTTTTTCCTTTTCTATTCCTTTTCAAACTTTGTTTTCTTGTCCTGGGGTTATTCAAAAGCATTTTCCCAAAATTCTAGTTGTG